AGAATAAGGTAAAACGGTATCTTTGATATTTCTTCCAAACATTACGCTAACGTAATCACCAGAAGCGAGCCATCGAAGGGAAGAGTTCTGCGCCCCTTTATAACAAAGCATACAATGTTGCCAAAATTTTGACGGAGCCGCTGAAGGAGTGTGTTTCTGATGACCTGCGCCAAGCTCAAGACACCATTCGGTCCTTGCACAGAATCCGACGACAAGCCTGGTCCGTGCGGACCGCCTGATTTTTAAGAAAGCTTTCGCGGTGAAATTTCAACCGTTGAAACGGTTGTTGTCCACCACTGCGCCTGCTAGTTCCAAGCCTGCCACGGTCACGAAGTGGGTCCGCGCCGCGGCTCTTCCTGCCAAAGTCAAGCAAGAACTGGATGAGTTCCTTGGGTCTACTGCGCAGCATCTTAAGTCCTTGTCAAAAGAAGAAATGGCCAATCTCAAAGATCGGGCCGGTGAATTTGGTCTTGCTTTTTTTCAGTTGCTAGCATGAAGAACCAGGAATTGTTTAAATGCATCGCCGCAGCATCTGCAATGAGCTTGGCAAGCTGGTTTTCGGTTTTTTTGTGCGCTTCTCCCTCATTTCTCCAGCAGACCAGACAATGATTTGAAATCGCAGCCGGAAAATGAAGCCAGTCTGCTGCCATCCTTTGTACGCCAAGAGCCTGTGACCTGCAAGATCAATCTTTGCAGCCAACAGCGTTCAAACGCCATGTGGCTCGACTCCTTTGTCTCCCAGACGCTCAGCAATGTTTTCTCCGAGATGCAACCTCATCTCTTTTCAACAAGTACCCAACTCTTCAAGATTGGAGAGCCCGGTGCAGCATGCATTGCGCGATGGCAGCCTCCCTTGAATTGTCCGTTTTGTTCTAAAATAAGGTTGAAAGCTTGCGGCGTGCGAAGCACGCAAGTAAAAGCAAAACACCCAGAACATATTTCGAACAAGCGGCTTCACAAAAGGATCCGAAGGGCCTTGTCTCACCATCATTTTCCTTTGTCAGCCATTACAGGAGTTTCGGACAACTTCTCTCTCTTTGGCAGACTCTTCTACAAATTGTAGGTGGCAACCTGCTATCGTTTCAAACGCTGCGCTTCTTGCGGAGACGAGAAGTTACCGCAAGCCAATTGTTGTCGCTGTACCGCTTGGCCAAGAATCTGGAGGAGCCCTTCCAAAGCCGGGTAAGGTCCTCGATAGCTTCAGTGATGTCAAAGCGTAACATGGTAACGCCGCCGGCCAATTTGACGTTTAGAATCCCTTTCTTGAATGACACTGATTTCCGATCTCACGTGAGCAGGTTCCTAACGGACATCCTGCGTGCTAACAAAGATTGTATTCCCTTGTTTCATGTCCCTGCAAGGGCTGTCATGTTTCAATCGCATGTCTGTTGCTGCATTCTTTCAGGGCCTGGAAAAGATCGTCTGCGCGCAGACGCAACGCCCTGCCGTGGCCCTGAAATGAGAAAGGCGCACCCTCAGGCTGATACACCTTTGTGTAACCTCAGCTTACCAAGGCCCTTAAAGCAAATTGTGGTGTACAGCGCTGCCACCCAAATCTACCCGTCAAAACGCAAGTTTACAGATCGGGTGGTTGTTCAGGTTCAGAAATGGTGCAAGCACCATCATTTCTCCCTCCCCCTCAGGCAGTGCGACAGTTTGTGGATGAAAAGTGGCTTCTGCATCTCCAGTCCCTGCCGCAAAATGCGGTATCCTGGACCTGGTTCGCTTCGCTGCGCAAGCGGTTGGGGAGGTTTGCGCGAGGACCATCAACCCAATCGCCTGCTTGTATTTTGTCCAAAGTTGTACCACCAGGCTATGATCAAATCGTTTTTGGACACTTCGGTTTTCGAAAACACATGCATTGCAGGGCCAAAGGCTCGCACTTCAATCCACCCATGATTCCACTGCTCCACTTCCTCAGGCCTATGCCTTGCTCAAGAGGAAGAAATCATTTCAGTCGGGCAGATCCATTGTGCCCTGTCCGGGCACCATCCTTGCAAGTTCAGACCGTTTCACGGTGCTTTTCCCAAGTCGTTTGACCCTGGCAACAATGTTGCCATCTGGGCTGAAATTAAGAGCTTTCTACAACGCACCCTGGTCAACGAAAGATTGTGTTTATGCAAAAGAAAAAGGAAAAACAACAAGGTTTTTGTTTCTCTGCTCGCTTCTGAGTTCAGTTGCTGAGGCACAAGTCCTCTTCCTTTCAGCATGCTTGTTTTTGCGGCATCGGCCGAATTCAAGCCAGCTCCACAAGGTCTAGGGCAATGTCCGGATCACACCCCAAAACCCCCCATCCACTTACCGGCATCTCTTTTTCAAGACACCTGTGGGTGCATCAGTATGGGGCGACCCAAGATGCACTTACCAGAGCCAGGGATTCAGTGACTGTCCATGCGCATGGATGCAATCAAATAGTCTCATGACATAGAGCACCGACGAAACTTCCCCTTTTTCATACTGCCGCCGATGTCAGGCGCAATTGTGCCCAATGACCCCGCGAAGTGGCAGCGCCAATGCAGCGTACTGCGGTGCGCCGCGCGGTTGGGCAAGGAGCTGCAAGCATTGCACAGAGTGCGACGTGCCCTTCCGGTCCAGGTCTCCACGGGCAGGTGCCTAGAGACGGCACTTATTCCCAGGCCCAACCGAGGCCAAGGAGTGTCACACATTGCTGGCATCGCACAAGCTCCTCCTGGGGAGTGCTCACATGTTTCACGGCTATGAAGTTGGCACTGTACATCCTGCCACAAGCAAAGCTCTACAGCGGTAATTACATGTAACACTCCAGATTGGTGGTGGGCGAAGCAGGCATCCACAGCGATGCCACTGAAGACAGGCCCAACCGCAGGCATGAGGTGTGTGGACGGGTCACTAATCTCGTTCTCATCCGAGTCCGAGTCGCTACCAGCCACCATGTCCTGATCTGTAAGGCCAAGCAACTGCGCAACCCTCTCAGCTCTGGCGGCATCTGGCTTAAAGGACCCATCGGTTATGGACTCAAAAATGCGATACTGTTTCACAGCGGGTGGCACATACGAATCACGACTGTACCTGCACAACGATGACTCTGACCGGTCAATGTGGTGCCCCATGAGTTTCCTTTCAGCTGGGGTGAACCTATCATTGCGACCCACTTAGCAGCCCATGAAAGAAGCGTGCTTTCAGGCTATGGGCAGTGTAATCATGAGCGTTGGCCACGCCCACTGCTTCCAGGTACTCTCTTTGCCATGCAGCGGCCTTCGATGTGCTCATCGGTTCCTGTGAGAAACATTGGTGCCTGTCTGACCAGGCAGGCATGGCGCACGGGAATGTGTTCATCAGATACCTGGATCTGGCCAACAACCAAGACCCCCCAAGCCTCAGTGTGCAACCCCTTGGCGAGGGCAACCAAGGGGAGAAATCTAGTTTTGGCCTTGTCGGAGGTGCTGGTGTTGGTCCTTTTTGTTCCCGACTCTATCAAATTAAGCTGCTTAGACTTGGCCGAAGTTACCCCTTCAAGCCATCTGGTATCCGCCCACCTGGATGATGTGAAAAGGTTGAACAAAATGTGGCCTAAGATCACTGTGTCCTTTGATAAGCCATCATCGCAAAGTTTTTGCTCCTTGCAAGTCCGACGCATCTTGACGAAAATGTGGCAGGCTCAGTGAGTTTGGCAACCCCGTCCAAAAACCGCCAGGCTTCAAGGAAGGCATTGAATGAAGTCGGGGACTTTTAATCATCCTGCATGCCAATCAAGTACCTATAAAGGTCGGCTTCACTAGCTTTGAGAGGGGACGCGATGCCCGACTTGAGACCCCACGTGCAGAACCTCCACAGGGCGCCGGCTCTCTTCTCAAGAGTCGAGGAGGCCTTTACTGCAAACGCATCTTGAAAACTCCTTGAAATTTCGGACTCGTCCACCAAGGTGCCAGCGCATCTCAGTAAAGAAAGTCCAAGCTGCGACGCAGACGGATCAAAGAGAACCATGGTCCTCAACTTAAGGAGGGCAATCCTGCAGATTTCGGACTCCGTCTTGGAGAGGGACTCAAGTCTCAACCTGTGCCTCAAGGGTCCAGAGGGTCCTGGCAAGACATCCCGCGTTGGCTTATCTTCAAAACCAAGGCCATCAAGTCATTGGGGTTCGTAGGCAAGGCCGGCTGACCTAAGGATGGAAGCACTGGATGACTCCCAAGCACTGGGTGGGCTTCTCAAGGCAACCTAGGCAAGGCCTGTCTGGAAGGTGATGCTAACGAAGCAATCATGTATTGGTTCCACCCATTCGCCAAGACCCTAGCCCTTTTTACCGCTGACTCACCATTAGATGGCTCAAGAATGCCTTGGTCATCTTCCCCCGCACTCATTGGCATTCAAAGTGGCGCCAAGTGCCAGCACCACGGCAATGGCTCCAACTACAAAGGCCACACACACATGGCCCATGTGGGCAGCACGCGACATGGCGCCGGGAGAAGCAGTGCCAGCTTAAAAAAAAACTGTCGCGACTAAGGCGGTGCATCGTCGTGATTTTTGCGGTTTGCCGCTGATCGACCCCCAACTTAGGTCCGCCCGACTGGCAGTTTGTGCTGTCGCCTCCTGAAATAAGGAGTAGGTGATCGGGGGTTGCGTGTGTGTCGGCTTGCAACAGCCTGTTCTCCTAGTTTCGGGCAGCGTGCGCCGTTGGCTACGTCCTGTGCAGGCGTGCCACGCACCGGTTGTTTTTGTTGAGTTGTTTGTTTTTGCCAAGGTTTTGGATGACATAGAGATGTAATTGGACTGTCTGGTTTTTCCAATCTATCCAGCTCAGATCCAACCAGAACGCGCGCCGATGTTTCAAAAGAAACATCCAGACTTCTCACGTGAGTTCCAGGAAGTGTGGAAGGCTGTGCCAGAGCTGCATGTTGACCATCTTAAGATGTCCTCTTTCTCAATCTGATAGCAGGGGGTGCCAGGGATGCTCATGGGACTTGCACCAACGAAGACGCCAATGATGTATCCGTGATGCAGTGGGGGACGCTACACTGTGTACCTGCTTACGACATTGAACGCCATGAGCACCATCGCGTGCAGCTTGGGTTCCGGTTTGTTTGTTCACCATGTTAGACGTACAGGACTTTCTGGCCATTTGTTTGAAGTTCCATGTTGCTTGTGCGCATCCGCCCATGGTGGCATTCATAGTGTGTGTGTGTGTGGGTTTTTGCCACAACGACGTTCATGCACGAATACGCGACTGTGGACATACGCATCGTGGCATGCATGCTGGAGCGGTTTGGTTGTCCATCTTATTTGGCAAACGTGGAAAAACAATCACCTTTCGCGTCAATGTAAATCTGGGAGGGAAGTGCAGGGGGGCCGGGTTTGGCGTCCTCCCAGGCATGAGCTGTACTTCGCTGAAATGGATGAGATTGAAGCAAGTATGCCCCGCTCACCGCCACTGGATTGAATCGGCAGGTCAAAAAGTGCCAGCCCTAGGCTGCGTCAGTCTTGTGGCAGGCGAATTGTTTCAGGAGCTTACCAGGACATCTTGACAGAAGTGGGTAGTTCCCACAAGCTTGTTTGGCCTTGTTCCTGGGAGCCGCGAGCTGTGTTGCGGCCTGAGTGTTCCAGGAGTACGAGTACCTGAAAGAAGCCCGTCTCTACGCACCATGGCGCCAAGCCCAGTGCCACATAAAGTCGTGAAACATTAAATTGCATCTGCGGCTTTGGCTTCCGAATGTGGGGCAAAGTCCATATAGTTTTCCCACCCAGGCGGAGCACTGTGGCAGAGGCGAGAAAAGACGGGTGCGAGCTCAGGCGGGTTCGCGGGCTTTTGCGTTGCTCCTGTTGCCAGGTCTTACTGTACTACCCCATGCCAGCCCCAAGCACACATCCAGCTTCAGTTTTAGCCGTCCCCAAGAGATTGTGTGTGCATTGGGGGTGCCGAAGGGCGTGAAGGTTGCCACATAGCTCCCAACTAGAGAGGGATGAGTTCGCAGGGCACATCTTTGGCAACCAGGTGAAGGAGCTGAAGCCCCAGCTTGAGGGTATTTTGGGATCCCTTTGGGTAGGCCCCTGACTAGCTCCAGAAGATTGGTGTTTATTTCTTGGTTGCAGCTGGCTACCTCAGCACTCAGCACTGTCAGATGTTCCTTTGTATGTCCTCCTTTGGTGTTCTTGAGGGCGAAGCCAAATTCTGATTTTCCAGCACTGAGCTACGGTAGTTCCTGGCAGCAGCTCATCAACACCCCTTCGGGCAATTCACCCTTGGAATTGCTGGCACAATGCCTCGAACAGAGGACTCCGGCTTCTATCCCAGCGCAGTTTGAACCAACGGCAGGCGCACTGCGTTCCGCACTGCCAGAGCCGACCCGTTCTTGGCAGAGGCTGGAAGCTTCGGGCTGGAAGCTTCGGGCGGGGTCGCAGTTGTTGCTGCGAAAGGGTGGTGATTTGCCTTCCTTGTTTCGGGCGCCTGATGTCAGAGGGTGAACTCACCGGTCATCCATACCTTCTGGCTCGCAAAGAGGTACGGTCGCATATGGTTGATGGAGTAATCAAACGTTTGGAGGGCTTGGTCTGGAATGCTTCGATGTTGGGGTTGGACTTTCTGGGATGGGCGCGCAGGTCAGAAGGAAAGTCTTCGAGTGGGCGCCCCAAGAGACAATGTGCAAGCCGCGAAGGGGAACTGGCGAAGGGTTATTTCTCTCGGCCCGGCCGGAGGTTTCCTTGCATTGCTGAGGCTCGAAAACAAAACCTGGAACTTGGCGGAGTTGGCTTCCGATAGGGACTGCGAGGCCGTTGTGAGGGGGGCTGGGGACTTGGGCAGCTTGGGACAGGTTGAGCCGCTCGCTTTGACATTCCCGACGGATATCCCAGATTTTCTTTATGCGACTGATCTCTTTTCAAGGGTGCGACAGCCAACCCTGAGAAAGTGCTAGCATGGCAATGCTTAGAATGAAACTTCAGCTCAACACGGACAACACACGACTCATGCAGTCGATGCGTCCATACAGCGCAGGGCTTTCTTGGAGTGGGGTGAATGAAGAGGCTCGGGGCACCAAATAGGCCAGGCCCATGACCAGTAATTTTCCAAAAGGAGGCCCAAAGGGGATAGTAAGTTGCAACTGTCCAGACCCCCCTATTTGACTCTGAGGGCAGATTTCACGTTGCTTCGCGCGTTTGGCTCGAGCCGTGACTACCGGAGCGTTCGGCCGTTGCCGTGCGCATGACTTGCGGAGAATGGCAGAGCCACCCTTCAAGCCCCACGACCGCTCAGTCGGGCCCTCGCTTGCACTCCTGCGGGACCCTCCTGCCAGAAGTTTCTATCATATTGTCAGGGAAGGCCCCGTCTTTCAAAACGGGAGTTGCCAGGCGTTGCTGAAAAGCCAGCTGCATGTAAAGTACTAGGCTTTGACTCCCCGTTGTCCGCTCAAGGTGTCCCGTGGCACCAATCTGTCGCAGCCCATCACGCCAGTAGTGCCAGACATAGAGCTCCTGGGCCGCAGGTTGCACGGGGCAAAGGAGAAGCAAGACACCCGTTTCTTTGAGACAGACCTTGAACCGTTGGCCTTGTGGATGGAGGCACATCGGAAAGCCACCGCACAAATTTCCATGGGACAGCTACTGATTTTGACCAACAAACTATCTTGATTCGACCGCTGAGGCTAAGCACTGTGCACGAGAGGCGCGTGCTTCTGTGGCTCAGTTGTTTGCGCATGCTTCTGTGTGGCTCAGTTGTTTGCAGGCAATGTCATTCCAACGGGAAGGACCGTGTTTTACTTCATTATGCCGAGACCAGGTCATTTTCAGCCTGCATCGCTGATGTTTCAGGGGAGCTGCGTCACGGATGCCATATTGCAACACTCACCACCCAGAATGTGAAGCATCCTGCACTGCTTGGCCAGGCTTGTAGAAAAGCCTGACGAGAGCCTCTACAAGCATGCAGTCGAAGCACAGATTTTTGTAGAGCATTTCCTCCAAATGCTAGGGCCAAGGCCCCCCAACCCAGCTAGCAAGCCATCTCGGAAAAGATTTGCCATCCGCCCAACGCGCAGGCAGGCGCGGCAGGCGCCGGCCCGGCTTGGGAATGGCAGAAATCCAAGGGACCGGGTAACCAGCCAGCTGTAAGGAACAAGGGTCCAAACGTCCCAGTTCGAACCATTCTGGAAAATCTGACTGCTTTTGCTCAGCGACACCGTCCAGCACTTGAACGCATGACTTGCGCCCCCAAGAGCATAGAACCCCCCCTCAAAATTCTTGGCCCTCTGTCATTTCGATACTCATGCATCGGCGAGGGTTGGCTGCCATGCTTCCAAAGTCGGATGTCCGGGCTGCCCGGTTAGGATTTGGAGGCCGCACTGCTGGATCTGGCGGCTGGAGGCCCCAGGCCACCTCTTCAATTCTTCATTCCGACGCTTGAGGTTTTGGGCGGAGGGTGCCATCCCCTCAGTGGGTTTCTGAGCCACCGGCTAGGGGGGTGGGCAGGCAGAGGCATGCATGCCACTTTGGCAAAAGGCCGAGTGCGTTTGCCATGTTCGCGGGTTCGAGAAAGTACTCAGCGGGGGAACGGTTTTCACCATACGAACCACTGACAACTTTGCTTTTGCGGCAGACAGCGCCCACCGGGAGAAGAGTTTTTGTTGGGTTGCATCACTTCAGAGGGAGGTATTTGGGAACCTTCGTTCTTCTTTTTTTTTTTTTTCTCGAATTGGTCATCCTGAAAGTGTTTTTGTTCCATATTGCAGCGGAAAGACTGAGTACGGTAGGCTTGTTGACTTTAGGCGGTGGCAGGTGTGGTGCTGGAATTGCTTCATTGATGCAATCAAAGAAAGCCCAACACACCCGTTTTGGCGCTGAATGATGAGGGAGCCCCACAGCCAGCCGCATGCTGCATGCAATCGCTTGTGCATTTGGCGCGCTGCGAATGTATTTGGGGCCTATTGGGTTCCTCTCGAAATGCCCTCAAGGGGCAATTTGGGCAAGAACCGAGCTGAGGCGAGTCACGTCAGTGAGGTCCAACACCTGCAATGGAAGCTTGAGGCAGGTGGGGCACCGCTCAAAGCGCTTTCTGTGCTACCAAAGCGCCCTATGACTATTTTGCTACTTTGAAGGGGGGTTTCCTTGGTATCAAAGCAAAGGCGCCCGTGCCCACGTCCTCCACCCCATGTCCCACTCAGTTGGCTTGCCCCTTGGCCCAGGCCTCGATCCAAGCGTTGGAGGCTGTGAACTCAGCGTTGCGCTGGCGGTCGGCCGGCGCATCGCCGTGGTTTTGACCCAACAGGTCATTCAGAAAGCGGGGTCAATCAAATGTAACAGAACTTGGGGGACACGTGCGCTCGGCCAGCGAAAACGGGGCAAGGACCCACGAAATACACGAAATGTTATGGGGGCCCACTGAATGAAACGGGGGCCGACTAAGTAATACTATATAGGGACTCGGGACCCCACGAAAAATGTTCTTTTCAATGGCATGGGGGCCAACTGAATATAACTGAATAATGACATGGGCACGAAGCCCCGGATTTAGGGCACCTCCACAATATGCACACAGCATCTGGGACCAATCAGCCAAGTCTCCTGGAAGGAGAGTTGAAAGATGCTTCTCAGCTGGAGCTAGGTGCAGAAGCGGTTCCCTTCACATATGGATAAGCACCTTAGGGCTTCTATACGCTTCACACGTTCTCCAAGCTCCCGGCCCCAGGCTCGCCACTTTGCCCCGCCCAAATCATCGGGAACGCAGGCGGGGCGGGCAGGCATTGAAGGCATTGAAGGCAGAGAGGCCGGAGGGAAAGGGAAGGGAAGGTAGGAAAGGTAGCCGAGCAGGACCATTTGGCTTTTTTCCCCAACAGCTGAAAGCTTTGGGGTCTCAGCCCAGATAGGGTGCGGGGTGGTCCGGGGCAACCCTGAGGTAAGGTTTCACGAGGGTTTCACGAGGGTTCCACCAGGTTTCCACCAGGGTTCCACCAGGGTTCCGCCAGGGTTTCACCAGGGTTCCACCAGGGTCCTTCCAGGTTCTGCGAGGGCTGCGGGGTGGTGCGAGCACTAAAAGCACGGCATGCTGTTGGGGATATCACCTGAGCTTATTTTTCCATAGGGAACCACCGCTCAACAGCATGAATCCCAAATGATGCCCACCAAAGTGTTCCAAATTGAAACCGAATCAGCATGTACAAGGCGCCTGTGTTGGCAGCCGATTGGTCAGAACTCCGCCCGGGTCTCAGATGCCCGGAGCTGCGCCACCTTTCTTTTCCGCGTCATGTTCTTTCAGTTGGCTGTTTTCAGGGCACGGCTTCTGTGCCAACCCCTCTGATCCCATTTTCTTGACCTGGGGTGCCCAAGCCGGACTCATTAGTGAGGCCTTAGCCCAGGCCCGCGCGACAACGAGCAGAACGATGAGGGGAGCAACGAGGCCACAGAATGGGAACGATTGAATTGATAGCTTCTTTGTTGATGATAGGGGATGTCCGATAAAGAACGAATCCTTGGGGCGCAATTCGCAAGGTTTATAGTGCCGGGTCATTACGCGCGCCACAGGTTTCGCCGTGCAGTTTGCGTGGGAACGACGGTTGGGGTCTGTTTGCATGCAGGTTCTGGGTTGAATTGAAGTTATCAACAACCTAGTGATGGTTTCTGGGCAGAACATGGGCTGAACAATGGCGATGCCCGATTCCAGTTTTGGACTTCTGGGCCAGGCTCCTTCAAGATCCTTGGCTCATGGGGGACTTGCGACCCCCTGAGCTTGATTTCTCAAGGGTGTGCGTCAAAGGACCCCCTTGTCAGGTGGAAAGTAGACCAAGTCAGCAAGCCAGAAGCAGACGGCCCCCCCTTCCCCACTCCCAGCAAAGAGCGGATCTTTTGAGGGGAGGCCCTGGGCTAAAAAGGCGCCCAACCGGCTGGGGTTTGCGGCCCCCGGTGTCTCAAGGAGGCCGAGGCCAAGGACGTGACGGACGGGGCCAAGGTCGAGGAGTCGCCGACGGACCGGACAGCGGAAGCGCTCGAACGTGCCTGGCATCGACTCCATGTTTATGTGCAGGATGATGCATATTTCTGTCCTTATACATACGTAGATTTTCCCGCAATTTTGACATGCGTGTCCTTGCAAAAGGACATGTAAGGAAGCCCGCTGAGGTGTTGTGGGAATGATTCTTGTGAAGAATTCGTGATTGGGAAGGCGCCCGGTGGTATTACAGAATTCAACAGCTGTTTCCGGAAAGCCCGGCGTTTGTCGTTTGCCAGAGCTTTTGCCTGTTGTTGCCTGGGATCAAGACCTTCTCATCCTCAATTGGCTCGTGCGTCCCGTCGCATGTTTCAAGCTGAGATTGCTTCTTGCTTCTTTTGCTTGCTGGTTGCAGTAATGTTGGCACTTGATTAATAAAGGCCCCCCCCCCCCCTCCCCCCTGAACAATGGAGGCGCCAAAATAATGGGGGTGCACTTTTGGGACGTCCAAACAATGGAGGGTTTTGGGGCCCAATTCTACTTTAGTATTGCAGCCACTTCCTTTTTGCAGTTCTACTTTAGTATTGCAGCCACTTCCTTTTTGCAATTCTACTTTAGTATTGCAGCCACTTCCTTTAGTATTGCAGCCACTTCTTTATTGCAATTCTACTTTAGTATTGCAGCCACTTCCTTTTTGCAATTCTACTTTAGTATTGCAACCACTTCTTCCTGAACAGACTTTTTGGAATACTACTTTAGTATTGCAACCACTTCTTCCTGAGCAGACTTTTTGGAATACTACTTTAGTATTGCAACCACTTCTGAGCATACTTTTTGGAATACTACTTTAGTATTGCAACCACTTCCCTTTCAGTTCTTTCTGTAGCCATTCAAAGGGGTGTGCCTTTCTGCAAGTGGGCCACCAATTGAAAGGGGAATGCTTTTGAGCAAAGCAAGTGATAGTTTATTTTCTGGGAGGGGGGGCTGGGGGCTTGCCACTATTGTGGTCCCCTAAAACAATCACATTATTGTGGTTCAGTGGGGTCTGTGAGAGGTACCCTTGTCCTGATTGTTTTTTTTGCATTTTTTAGCACGGTTTAATAAAGAGTTTGCAGTTTCAGGGCTGGGGATGGTTTTCAAATTTCAGAGTTTCAGCTGGCTTTGGGTTCTGTGGTTGAGCAACCAATTGAAAGGGGAATGCTTTTAAGCAAGTGGGCCACCAATTGAAAGGGGATGCTTTTAAGCAAGTGGGCCACCAATTGAAAGGGGATGCTTTTAAGCAAGTGGGCCACCAATTGAAAGGGGAATGCTTTTGAGCAAAGCAAGTGATAGTTTATTTTCTGGGAGGGGGGGCTGGGGGCTTGCCACTATTGTGGTCCCCTAAAACAATCACATTATTGTGGTTCAGTGGGGTCTGTGTTGGTTTTTGCATTTTTTAGCACGGTTTAAGAAAGAGTTTGCAGTTTCAGGGCTGGGGATGGTTTTCAAATTCTGAGGTACACAATCTTCAGCTTGTTGCTGAAGGAGATTCAGAGTTTGGGGGGGATGGTTTTTTTAATTAAATTTGCTTTGTGGAGTTTTTTTTGGAATTTTCCCCCTGGCCAAAAAACTTTCTATTATTCTGGTCCCCTTAAACAATGGGTGTGAACCAGAATAAGGAAACAAACTTTCTATTATTCCGGTACCCTTTACTAATCGAATGCCAACATTAGAACGACACCATGCTAGGCTTTATGTGCCTGACTTGCCGCATTGGTTCTTCCTCACAAATCTTGCCGTGCCACTTTGCTGCCTTTGCGCTGCAATGATCGCCTCAGGTCAGCAGAAGAAGGCAAGAATGCGTATGAGCCTCTCAGCTGGGGCTGGAAAAGGGGAATTGGGTGGGCACATGGCAACAGATGCCTTCTTTGGAGACATTGTTTTCTCCCTCTCTCCCGCCGAGCCAAAGACCTGCTTTTTTTGACACCCTGTTTCACTCGTGGCGTTGGGGGCAGGTTGGGGGTTGGAAAGAGCACGTTGTTCACTCTCGCGATTGTTTTTTTCCCATGTGGGTGATTGAAACATCGCCTTTCGGGCCAATGTTCCAAGGGTAAATCTCATTTGGCGAACAGAGAGGCCTCTAGCCAGTGGCATCAACGCCACTCTGGCCGAAGAATAGCAGATCGAATGCAAAGGATGCGTCATGCAGGGAGGCTTGTTGCAACAAACATTGCAGAGCATTCATCGCTGAAAGCAAGGGCTGAGCAAACTGCGCAGAGTGTTGTCTTTGTGCACCAAGGCTCAGCCATCTCGCGAGTATTGAAGGGACCGAGCCACATCCCTCTGGCAAAGCACCACCGCATGTCCAAGGCGCCAGAGACACTTAGGCCGGGAGAGAGGTTTCTTTGCGGGTTGCTGGCAGATGGAGAAAGGCAAAAGGGGAGAAGGAGGGGGGAAGGAATCAGGAAGTGGTTTGGGATTGGCCAAGGGTCAGTGTCTCCATGCTCTTCAACATGCAGAAGGGAGCTTGTTTCTGGAAGCAAGTGTTGCTGACATGGCCAGGGCCAGGCCCATATCAAAGCCTTCACGGACCCGATTCAATCAAGGGAGGAGACACGAGTAAGCATTGTAGCATGAAACGTCATAATTTGTTTAGTTTGAGCTCATCAGCACTCAAGCCTCCTTCGTTCCCATAGCCAGCCGGCGGGGCAGCATACAGTGGGATGCATGCTCTCCACAATTTATAGCCTGCTTCTCAATGATGCCCACATGCTTAAACAATTGAATCCACCAGCTTCGTCCTGCTTCATCCTGATTCGTCCGTCTCAAGCAATCGAGTACTTTCATCCTGCTTTCGCCCAATCCATTGAATCCCCGCCCCTTGGCCTTTGCACAATTTCGGTCGCTTAGGCTGCGAAGGAAGATGTTGAACCAGGCGGGGCTTCGCCTTGCGTGGGGTCTGTGCTCAGCTCAAAAGGCTCATCGGTTGGGCTCGAATCATTCACCAGCACAACCTAGTGTCCAAAAATACACCCAGCGTGGCCCTCCTTGTGAATGTTGATTGCGGTTCGGCATCGTAGTGAGTCAGTTTCATGAGCCACAGGCCAGTGAGCAACAATATGGGGACAAAGAGGCATCCTCACATCTTACGAAGACTCTTGCTCAAATTCGAAGCTGCCAAAGTTGGGGTTTCTCCAGCACCAGAAAGCAGAAAGCCTTAGCGTGCCAGAAGCCCTTCGCAGCGGATCGCTATGGTGACGTGGATCCTGAGGACTTGCTTCGGAGGGGGGGGGGGTATGGCAGAGATGCATTGAGTGGGAAACTGCGCCCAGGACTCACAAGCTTTTGCGGACTCAAAGCGATGCTTCTCGGGTTGTCCCACGCTCTGAAAGTCAAGGGCTACAAAGGGCTTGATGGCTCTGGGATAGAGGGAGCTGCGGCCCGAGCAGCTGCATTTCCTCAGCCTTGCCAGGAGCTAGACAAGCTTCTACCATGGTACGAGAGGTACAGTTTGCTTTGGCTGGCCGGACTCTTGGTGAATCGAACCGACACATCGTATTAGGATGGTTTTCAGGCTCATGCGGGCCTGGATGTCAATCTCAGATTGTTTGGAACAACTGGGGAGTGCTGGTGACTCTGAGAGGCAGGTTGCACCAGATGTGGGTGGTATGTGCTGTGTTTCCCTGAGGACGGATTGGAGGCCACTTGTGCATCGAATGCGTTTACTTGGCTCCGTCAAGGGTAAATCTACACGTCCAGGTGCCCGGGCAAACTGACCACGTGTCGGAAGCAGGTTGAGGGAAATGGACCCCTCACAGTGGTCGGTTTGTTTCGTTCTTTTCTTGCCGTGATCAAATGACACTTTTGTTTGGGTTTGGCAGGGTTCAACCTCAGACAGCAACAGCAAGGTTTCCTCGCACGGGAGCCATGATCATGCCACACACAAGTAGGTGTAGCTTTGGTACATCCGTGTCCGCACAATCAGCCTTTGAGAAGCGTTGGTTTCTCCAATTGAATTGGTTTTCCTTTCAAGCAATCCCCTATCCACCGGGTTTTTCTCTCCCAAAGCAGGACCACGATAGGTCCAGAATGAGAAACATCCCACCCCCCTAATTGGTTCTCAGAACCCCAAGCGGGATGCTTTGGACATCTAAGCTTCTTTAAGGTCACCCACCCCTTCTTCGACGCGGTGACTGCGCTGGTGATCCTGGTCAATGCTGCAACCATCGGCGCCGAGACGCGGCCCGGACTCGGGGAAGGCGAAAGGGCCGAAAGCTCGGGACGCGGCTTCCCTGTGTAGCCGGTCCTAAAAGGGGGGTCGAAATATTTTTGACATGGAAATCGGTTGATGCCCGCGGTGGCTTTTTGGGAGCTCCTTAAGGGAACTCGGAGGGAAATCGCAATTTTGGGGTGGCCCTACGAAAAGACATTTTGTGGGGTTGAGGAGCTTCTGAACGGCATTCCCCAGTGACATGAAGCGAAGCTTCCAAGCGACCTTGGTGTGCGCCTTGACTGAGGCAGTATGGCGCCATGGACGTGCAGATGCCACCGGGCAACTTGGGCAGCAGGAGATGTGATTAGACCACTTGAGCTCCGTTGGAGTTTAGCTGCCAAGGCACCCTTTCACATGTGGAGGGGATTGTTTTCCTAGATGACTCCAATTTCCCCCTTTGCGTGGCTGGTTCTTCCCATTCAGCCGGGTGAGTCAGGTCTGGACATTGTCAGCCAGGTGTGCTCCGTCTATTTCCTCTTCGCCCCTTGGCTGTGAAGTCAAACGCGAACCCCAAGCCCTCACAGCTGACTTGCAACTTGTACTGGCCACCCGGCAGATTAATCAAGTTAGGATGCAACCCAATCTCGACGGCATCCGGAATGCGCATGGAGTTGCAAGCTCATTTGCTATCCGCCGGGTTCTACGAAACGGAGTCACCGTTCACTTAGCTGTCTCTGCATGGTTCTGCAGCCAGCAATCCCACAGGTTCATGAACTCCGCCTAGAAAACAGGCCTCAATTAAATCCTTGCCCAAGTAATGTTGACCTATGATTAATAAATGGCCCGCCCCCCCCCCTGAATGACCCTAAATAAAGATTAGGGGAGAATTTTCAGGGTCGGGCTTTGTTTAAAGGAGTTTAGTATTGGGCTCAGATTTTTTGGCTTTCGAATAGTAGATTTGAATTGGGCCAATTCAAAAGTAGTATTGGGCATGTTTTTTTCCAAAAAAACACCCTCTGGGGTTGGGTTCTCGTTTTGTTGTCTAACCGCGAGGGAGCGAGGAGTGTACCATGTTTGCAGCGTGCCGTGTAAACGCCACTGGCCAAATGGCCGAACAGGCGGCCTGCCGGCTGAATTGCCGGCAAGAACAGGACCGGTCTCAAGTGAGCCGAGTTTACCGCATACCGCAGGGCCGAGTTTGCAGCATGCCCATGCCGCGCAAGCGCCGCCAAGAACGTGACCGGTCTCAAGTGTGCCCGAGTTTGCCGCACACCGCAGGTGGTCAGGCTTCAGGTGTACCGAGTTTGCAGCAAACCGTGCAGGTAAATGGCCGAACGAGCGGCTTGCCGGCTGAATTGCCGCGACGACCTTGACTGTCGGTGAGTGCGCCGGCTGAATTGCAACCAGCGCCGAGGTAACGGGAGGTGCTGGAGGCCGCGTGCGGCTTGCCGGCTGAATTGCCGGAACGACCTTGACTGTCGGTGACTGTGCCGGCTGAGTTGCAACCAGCGCCGAGGTGAAGGGAGGTGCTGGAGGCCGCGCGCCGGTGGGATTTGGTCCACAAAGGCGCAGCGATCACGAGGCGTGTGCCGGCGGGGTTTGGCTCCAGGAACAAGCGAGAACGCCGGTGGGATGTGGGATTTGCTTCTGCGGATGCTACCAGCGCCAAGGGGCGGGAGGTGATGGAGGCCGCGTGCCGGTGGGATTTGGTCCACAGAGGCGCAGCGATAGCGAGGCGCGGTTGTCTGTGTGCTGGTGGGATTTGGCTCCAGCAAAGCAGCAAAAACGAGCTGGGGTCAGCCGTATGCCGGTGGGATTTGGCTTGGCGGAGGCGGCAAGGATGGAGCGCCGAGGTGACAGGAGGTGCTTGGCGGCAAGATGGAGGTGACGGCGTCGTGTGCCAGTGGGATTTGCTTCTACGGATGCAGCCAGCGCCGAGGTGACGGGAGGTGCTGGATGCCGCGCCGGTGGGATTTGGTCCACAGAGGCGCAGCGATAACGAGGCGCCGGTCGTTTGTTGGGATTTGGCTCCAGGAAAGCAGCGAGAATGAGCTGGGGTCATCCGTGCGCCGGTGGGGTTTGGCTGCAAGGATGGAGGCGACGGCTTCTGCGGATGCAGCCAGCGCCGAGGTGACGGGAGGTGCTGGAGGCCGCGTGCCGGTAGGATTTGGTCGGTGGGATTTGGCTTGGCGGAGGCGGCAAGGATGGAGGTGACTGACGGAGGCGTGTGCCGGATGCAACCAGCGTTGAGGTGACGGGAGGTGCTGGATCGAGGCACAGAGGCGCAGCGATAACGAGGCGCGGTCGTTTGTGTCTGGCTCCAGGAAAGCAGTAATGAGTTGGGGTCATCCGTGTGCCGGTGGGATTTGGCTTGGCGGAGGCGGCGAGGATGGAGGTGACGGCGGCGTGTGCCTACCAGCGCCGAGGTGACGGGAGGTGCTGGAGGCCGCGTGCGGTGAGATTTGGCCCACAGAGGCGCAGCGATAACGAGGCGCGGTCGTCCGCGCCGGTTCAATTTGGCTCCAGGAAAGCAGTGCCTCGTTCTCGCTGCGCCTCCTTGGGCCAAATCCCACAGGCACGCGGCCTCCAGCACCTCCCGTCACCTCAGCGCTGGTAGCATCCGCAGAAGCAAACCCCATTGCCGCCGTCACCTCCATCCTTGCCGCCTCCGCCAACCCAAATCCCACCGGCGCTTGGTCGTCCGAGTGCCGGTGGGATTTGGTTCCAGGAAAGCAGCGAGAACGAGCCGGGGTCATCCGTGTGCCAGTGGGATTTGGCTTGGCGCGGGCGGCAAGGATCAGACCATCGAGGTGGATGAGGCAGCTGCGAAGGTGCTGTTTGAGGACTCTGGAATTCCTGGCGTCACCAAAGAGTTGGTCACCTTTGTGCAGGCTGACGATACTTTTCAGCAACCCACTGGGGCTGCAGTCGCTTGGTTATCAGACAGCTGCAATGATTTCGGGCCTTTGTTTTCACCCGTGTGAATTTCATCCAACGCTGGCAAGATCGGGCAAGCCTTTTCGCGCCGTGCGCTCCGCGCGCGCGTTCGATGTGCTCAACTTCACATGGAAAGGAGCGCGCGCGGCGCGCGCGCGCGGCGCGAGCAGGCCGCCGTCCCCTCTGAACCACCTGGTGGCCCAAAACGGCAAGAAGCTGCGAGAAAACGTGACAAACCATGGCTTGTTGCAACAATGTAGTTTCGACTGCCGCGTCCTTTCTTGCTCTGGCCCGATGCTTGCAGCAAGGCTGCCACCTAAGAGCTTTTCCTGCTTGCAAAGACCCAATGGTCCGTGGAGCCCTCAAGGGGCCATAGCAAAAAGGCATACACGCAGGAGCAATAGCAGCATTGTCGGTCTGTTTGTGTCGCCCACGAGCTCCTGCCTGCAAACTGCTTGGGCAAGCAGTTCGCTGACAGTCATTCACAAATATTTGTTCGCATCTTGGTTTTTGGGTTCATCCGGCTCTCCTTGTTTTTCGTATTTTGTTTGGGGTGGATTCTAATTAATTTAGTTTTGGGCAAATTCTAAAGTAGTATTGGGCCAACAACTTTTGCATTTTTGATGGGGGAATGTGGTTAGCATTATTCAGGGTTTGCAAATTATTTCGTGCATCAGGATTCATGGGGGGTACCCTTGCTGCCAGGGCCAATGTCTTGATTTTGATGGTTTTAAAAAAGAATTTTAACAGAAAGGGATCCCGTAAATTTGCGGAATGGGATAAATCTAGAATCAAGTGTGGGATGAGCGAAGAAAGATAAGGGGATCATATCTATTTTTTGATGGGGGAATGTGGTTAGCATTATTCAGGGTCTGGTGGTTATTTCGTGCATCAGGGTTCATGGGGGGTACCCTTGCTGCCAGGGTCAATGTGTTGATTTTGATTGTGTTTTAAAGGAATTTTTAAAGAAAGGGATCCCGTAAATTTGTGGAATGGGATAAATCTAGAATCAAGTGTGGGATGAGCCAAGCTTGGCCATGAACAAAGATAATGCAAATCTCGTGGGGGATGAGGGTTGGGAGCACTGACCCTGAATAAAATTCTGCATGTTGCATTGGATCCCAATGGGAATTCTAGAGTTCTGTTGTGAGCTGGGGAACTGAGGATTCATTCATTTAGGTGGGGGGAAGGTTAATTTTTTAAATTAGTTTATATTATTTTGTCATCTTTTCATATTTTTCCACTTGGGAAAAGCGGTTAGCATTATTTATGGTATATTTGTTATTTCATTCGGGCAGTCAGTTAGCATTATTTATGGTATATTATTACTCGTAGGTCAACATTACCCGACAACAATGATTGTAACTAGGGTAGCTGGGCTGGTTGAGGGGGGGGTCAACGTCTATAAGTATATACTGTAAAGTTCTCCATTGGAAGCCCCGGGTTTCAACCTGGCGACCATGAGAACAAAGCCCCGAGGAGCCCCATTGCTGACTATTGGGTTAAGTTCGCCAATCACTTGCACACGGGCGTGTCTTGTTTTTCTTGGACACCCTCCCAAAAATTATGTTTTTCCTTTTTGGCTTCCCTTTCAAACCACCAAACACGAGTGCACCCTCAAAGAAAGGCACACCCACGTGTCTGGAACAAGTCATGGCCAAGCTGTACAGTTTCGGTCCTTGGCAGCGCGCTCAGGAGCTGGCCGTGCGCATCGGGGCTCACAAGGCTGGGATTTGGAGCCAAGACACGGGTAAAGAAGTTGGCTTGTTTTTTGTTGGTATTTTGTTGGGTGCTTGACGTTTTCTCCTTTTTTGGGGTGGGTTTCTTGGCTTCTGTTGAACATTCTCGTTTTTTTGCCTGAGTGGGTTTCCATGCTGGGACAGTGTTGATGATATGAGGTACGTGCCAACATGTGGCGGGCTGCTAGCTTGGCTGATGTTGGAAGGAAGTGTGCATGTAAGCCGCCCGGCGGCTCCCTTTTCGTCCAACCTGAAACCCGGCATTGAGAGGGGCTTCTGGTTTTGGCACAACATCACATCGCATGTTGCCTAAACATTTGTCAACAGATTAACCGGCAAATGTCAACAGGTTCATGAATGTTGAGGGCTAGAACGTGATGTTTTGAGAGACCTGGTGGTTGTTCACTAGTCGGACCGCAGGAGGGGGTCAAAGTTGTGCTTTGTCCCCCGGCGGCAAGACTTTTCTTTCTGGCGAGGGGAGCTGCCCATCTCGGGGACTGCATTTGAGATTGTGGTTTGATGTGGTTTGCTGACTCTCAGTTCATGTTTGTCTAGGATTCTTCCATACCTTGCTTCTTCCCTCTTGACTTGAGAGGAGCACCATGTTTTGAAGCACCTTTGACGCAACAGCCACAACCCACAGGTTCTTGAAACCTTGGGAGGGGTTCCTAGGGTTCGGAACCACCGGGGTCCCGCATCTCGATGCAGATGAGCTGGATCTCTGATCCCGATATGCGGCTGTGGACTCTTGGCATCCGAGTGTGGGAGGGCAAGCCTTTGGCCAGGTGCTGTTTTGCACCCCCTAGAAAAGGAACGGAGGGGAACTGACCAACAAAGGTGTTTCCCCCACAACAAAAGAATCGGTGTCTTTTTCTTTGTCCTTTGGCCTCCCTTTGAAGCCACTTCCTCCAAAGCAACAACAAAAGCAGACACCTGTCACATGCCCATGTGACGGGCACCTACTGTTGATGGAAGAAATCTTGCATGAGTTTACAAGACTACATGTTTGCCACCCCGCGCCCCCTACTTAACATTGAGTTGCGACGAGCAAAACCGCTCACAGGTTGTCAATGGCCTAAATCTTGCATGACCCAACCCAACTTGGCCAAACTGAGCGCCAATGTTAAGTAGGGGGCGCGGGGCAAGTCGTAACGAGATGGCATGGATCTGCTTCAAAAGAGATGCAAGATTTCTTCCATCCACCGACTGGTGTAGAGGGCGCTTTGTTGCGTTGCTTCGGCGCAAAACAAAGCGTTGCGTGCCCTGTGCAGTCAACACTCAGTCAACACTCAGTCAACACTACAGTCAACACTCCCCAAATCCTGGCAGGGCCAGCAAATCCACAATCAGGCAATTCAAAAGCTTTTTTCTCTATTTTTTGATTGTTTTTCTATTAACTGGGCCGGTTCAGTGGCCCTGCCAGGGTTTTGCTAGTGTTGATTGACTGTAGTGTTGACTGTAGTGTTGACTGAGTGTTGACTGACTGTTGACTGAGTGTTGACTGTTGTATTGACGGGGAGCTGCCAAGACTCCGGAATGTGCCGCGTGTGCTGCTTCGTGCGCCCCGGCTTTGTAATTCTGAAACTTGGCCTTTACATTACAGCTCACACAGCGCAACGCTGAAAACAGTGATGCTCAACTTGCCTGCGCCTACCGACTGGTGTAGAGAGCGCTTTGTTGCGTTGCTTCGGCGCAAAACAAAGCGTTGCGTGCAACACTCAGTCAACACTCAGTCAACACTCAGTCAACACTCAGTCAACACTCAGTCAACACTACAGTCAACACTCCCCAAATCCTGGCAGGGCCAGCAAATCCACAAACCAGGCAATTAAAAAGCTTTTTTCTCTATTTTTTGATTTTTTACTAGTAACTGGGCCGGTTCAGTGGCCCTGCCAGGGTTTTGCTAGTGTTGACTGTAGTGTTGACTGTAGTGTTGACTGAGTGTTGACTGAGTGTTGACTGTTGTATTGACGGGGAGCTGCCAAGACTCCGGAATGTGCCGCGTGTGCTGCTTCGTGCGCCCCGGCTTTGTAATTCTGAAACTTGGCCTTTACAACATTACAGCTCACACAGCGCAACGCTGAAAACAGTGATGCTCAACTTGCCTGCGGCTACTGACTGGTGTAGAGGGCGCTTTGTTGCGTTGCTTCGGCGCAAAACAAAGCGTTGCGTGCCCTGTGCAGTCAACACTCAGTCAACACTCAGTCAACACTCAGTCAACACTACAGTCAACACTCCCCAAATCCTGGCAGGGCCAGCAAATCCACAATGAGGCAATTAAAAAGCTTTTTTCTCTATTTTTTGATTGTTTTACTAGTAACTGGGCCGGTTCAGTGGCCCTGCCAGGGTTTTGCTAGTGTTGACTGTAGTGTTGACTGTAGTGTTGACTGAGTGTTGACTGACTGTTGACTGAGTGTTGACTGTTGTATTGACGGGGAGCTGCCAAGACTCCGGAATGTGCCGCGTGTGCTGCTTCGTGCGCCCCGGCTTTGTAATTCTGAAACTTGGCCTTTACAACATTACAGCTCACACAGCGCAACGCTGAAAACAGTGATGCTCAACTTGCCTGCGGCTACCGACTGGTGTAGAGGGCGCTTTGTTGCGTTGCTTCGGCGCAAAACAAAGCGTTGCGTGCCCTGTGCAGTCAACACTCAGTCAACACTCAGTCAACACTCAGTCAACACTACAGTCAACACTCCCCAAATCCTGGCAGGGCCAGCATTTCCACAAATCAGGCAATTAAAAAGCTTTTTCTCTATTTTTTGATTTTTTACTAGTAACTGGGCCGGTTCAGTGGCCCTGCCAGGGTTTTGCTAGTGTTGACTGTAGTGTTGACTGTTGTTGACTGAGTGTTGACTGTTGTTGCCAAGACTCCGGAATGTGCCGCTTGTGCTGTGCGCCCCGGCTTTGTAATTCTGAAACTGGCCTTTACAACATTACAGCACACACAGGCAACGCTGAAAACAGTGATGCTCAACTTGCCTGCGGCTACTGACTGGTGTAGAGGGCGCTTTGTTGCGTTGCTTCGGCGCAAAACAAAGCGTTGCGTGCCCTGTACAGTCAACACTCAGTCAACACTCAGTCAACACTCAGTCAACACTACTCCCCACTCCGGAAATCCAAGCTAGTTTTACCTGCTTGCGTGCGCCCCGGCTTTGTTGACTGAGTGTTGACTGACTGTTGACTGAGTGTTGACTGTTGTATTGACGGGGAGCTGCCAAGACTCCGGAATGTGCCGCGTGTGCTGCTTCGTGCGCCCCGGCTTTGTAATTCTGAAACTTGGCCTTTACAACATTACAGCTCACACAGCGCAACGCTGAAAACAGTGATGCTCAACTTGCGTGCGGCTACTGTTGATGGAAGAAATCTTGCATGAGTTTACAAGACTACATGTTTGCCACCCCGCGCCCCCTACTTAACATTGAGTTGCGACGAGCAAAACCGCTCACAGGTTGTCAATGGCCTAAATCTTGCATGACCCAACCCAACTTGGCCAAACTGAGCGCCAATGTTAAGTAGGGGGCGCGGGGCAAGTCGTAACGACATGGCATGGATCTGCTTCAAAAGAGATGCAAGATTTCTTCCATCCACCGTAGGATGCAGATTTGAAAAAAATCGTGGGAATCAGCTTGCCTGCGTGGCAGCAGCTCCAGTGGTGAAGGTGATCCTTTACCCTTACGAGCTGCGCGGGTGGCCAAGGTGCGCTGAGTTGAAGGGAGTGGAAGCCTTTCCTTGGCAGCAACCATGCATCCGCACCGCACTGCAATGCACGGCGCCGCTCATTCCCACATGCACACACACACCAAGCACAAACACCACCACGACCACAACCACAACCACAAACACCGCCAGCTGCCTGAATTCCAACGCCATCGCACGATATGCTGCAAGTATATTGCGAGCGATCAGGAACATGTTCGACTTCCTGCTTGTTGCTATGTCTCTGATGGACTACATCCTTGTCCGATGCTTGGAAGCATTTAGCCATAACAGCTTGTTTGCACACCCATCTCGAGGATCCAGGCAACGTATGTGTTTTTCAGAGAAGTGAGCCAACTGCAATTTCCGCCAGTCTGCAGGGGCGAAGGCAAAGCTTCAGGGGATTCAACATTCACAGCGACCACCAGCCCTCACGGACCAATTTGACTAAGCTGCGTTCACAAGAGTTGCTCGACGAGCATGTGACTCCAAGTTGTTTGGCAGGCTCCTCCCTGTTTCCCGCTGTTGTTGTTCCATTTGGCTCCCCATGACGTGGAATGGCCACTGGACACTTAGAGGCTGCATGCGCACTGTTTTCAGGCTGGGCGTGGGTTTCCCCTGGGTTGGAGAATCGCCAGGAGCGATGGATGCAAGTGCTGGCTTCACGGAGGTGAAGATGATCAAGACGCTACGCATCATTCGTGACTTGGCGTGTACTGTCGCCCCTGGATCAGGATCCATCAACGACTCGGGGGTGTTCCTCCCCCGTATTCATCAACCAGGGGTTGATCAATCCTGCATTCCAATTCGTCTTGATCAGGCAGTAAGCCAATGGGCATGTGGGCCAGAGGTATTGTTGGCACTCGGCTGCTTTGCTCCCTTGGGTGCAAACGCCCCTACTTTAGACGTCACACATCACGTCACACCAATGGATGGTGCTAGAGGGCCTGTGGCCTCGGGACGAGATCGTCGGACATGCCTGCCTGTGAGGCGCTTGCAATGGCAACGTCCACTCACCCGCAAATCAACATGAAGCCTTATGTTTTGGGGATCCCATACAAGGTGAGACTCCTTTGGTTTTTTGTTTTGAGGCTCTATGTTGATGTGGAGGGGTCGTTTTCGTGAGCGAGGAGGGTTTCTTCCTCCGTCCAGCGCGGCGCTTTTTGCGCAGTGCTCCTTGTATGTCCCGTTTGGGCGGTTTGAGCATCACCTTGTGTTCGAAATTTGGGTTTGAGGGGGTTGTGTCTAAAGGGGACGGACTATGTGTCCTCTTTAAACATCACCCTTCTTATACGTCCCCATGGAAAATTACTCAAGCAACAGTTCTGCCTCAGGGATCTTCCGGGTCTTCCGCTTCTTCCGGCAGCTCACGCAGCTGGCGCTGATGATCACGGCGACTCGGCCGGCCGGTGGGGTGCAAAGATCTCCTTACAACATATCCATATGGTGGTGTCTTGTTTAAGAGTACCTCTTCGTTGGTGGTTTTAAAGAGTGGTGGATTTAAAGAGAAGCCAGGAGGAAAGCACACAATTTTCAAGGGCGCTGAAAAAGACACACCCTTATTATTTACATTTAGGATAGCCAATTCACACCACTTCAAGCCCTATTGTACTTTGTTTCGTCCAAGCATATCTAGCGCGCAGCCGTTTCATTTTTCATGCTCGATCCCTCTCGCCGCGATCACAGCCTCAAGTCGGTGATCTGCCTGTGTCGGCAAAAGGCGCTTTGCATTGGCATAGGCCTCCCTTTTGACATTGCTCCCTTTTTTCACACATCTACCCGCTCGTTCTGCTTTGCCAAGGACTCTATCAAGTCACTGATTTGGGCGCTTGTCCTCCTGGCCATCATCATCTATGCTTTTGCCGTAGCCTTAAGCATTGGTGTTTTCTCCATTTGGCTTTGCATTTGGCCCAGTGAGTTCCTGGAGCTAAGGCGATTTTCCTTACAGCCAACGCCAGGGGCTTAGCGCGCTAGGGCAAAGCTCTGAGGACGCAAGCCCTGGGTGGAGCATCTTGGGACTAAAGTTTGAGGCCAGTGAGCCCAGAGCTACTTGCAACTATGTCTTTGGCACATTGTGGGGTCAGGCGGGGGTCGCCCAGCTGCCAGCCGCCAAACAAGTGGCTTCCGCAGCGACCTTGCTCCCACCAAATGTGGGGATCAGAGGCCGCCTGTTGGACCGAGCCGATACGACATTCCTGGGCCTGAGGTGTCGGCATGGTTGCAATCGCACCTGGAATATCCAGGGATCGACGCTTGGCGACATCCAGCGGCGCAAAGCGCCGCGTGTGGCTCTTTTCGCGGTCGCGTGAGCGCGATGGGCGGGAAAGCTAATAGGATGGCTAAGGGTTTTTAGATTCAAGGTTGCCTCTTGGAGTGGAGTGGAGGGCAATGTTGAGACCGGGGGAATGCTTGCAATACTTGCATGTTCAGCGTGTCAAGCCGGGGACGCGAGAAGGCCAATGGGCAGCATCTTTTTTTTCTGCTTCCCACTCACCACAAGACTCAAAATCTGCCAAACATCCAACCGCGCCATGGCGAGTTCTCTTCAGTGTCCCCATCTACCGAATCAGCAACCTATGCTGTTGGCACGTTTGCTGTGTACGTCACTCATCAGCGACTTCCCAACTTTTTGTCGCACCAGTCCTGAATCATCTGTTTAGGGTTTGGGATGGCTTTCATGTGGTCAAACCACCCGTTGAGGCCTAGTGGAGCGTCAAACTGCCTGTCTTGGATTCGTTTTTCAAGAAGATCTTTTGGGGGAAACCTTGTCCTATTTCGCCGCCCTTGTTCGTAAAGGGCTGTCTTGTGCTTGAGGAGTGGCCGCTCCTGGCCGCCGAGCATGCGGATCCAGACATCAGCGCGCTGGGGTGGGCCTATGGCCGCCTGCCTCCAAACGGACGCAGCCCAGTGGACAAGGGAGCGGTCGAAACATGGCCTGTGTACTCGGTCTGGTGTAGGCCGCGGGATGCCAGGTTCTGTTTGTGGCTCTGAGGGCCACGGACTTCCTCCTTGCAGCTAGCTTGGCACACCACGGTGGCCTCACAAAGTGGTTTGTGTCGATTTCACCCAACATGCAGGTTCTTTTCTTTGCGGTCCAGTTTGGGACTTTCTTTTTGGAATGGGGGGTGTTAACATTATGAACCCCGGGTTGGCAAGGCCCTGTGCGGGTCCCAACCAGGGACAGGGGGTCCAAAAGGCACAAACAGCACCAGGGAACCTCATCAACGGGGGGCGAGGCTCCTTGCCGCAGACGGTTTACACGCTGGTGCAGGCCGTGCGGCGCTTGGCGTGGCTTTCGGATTAGCCGTGGAAACTCGCAATGCACTTTGCAGTCTCCTTCACTTGGTGTAAATCAAATTTTGGATCCTGGTGTGCCGAATTCCAGAAAAACATGACCGACTTTCATCCCCAGCTTTTATCTTGCCCACCTTGCGCATGCTTTTTGCTGGGCCTTAAGGGCCTTCGCTGTGCACAACCAAGGTGCTAGGGGGACGCAGCTGGCACGAGGTCTGCACTCCCTTGTTCAAGGCATGGCTCGCGCGGCTCTGTGGCGTAGCGCGCCTCAGCTTGCTGCTGCACATGGCATGTTTCAATTATTTTGCACCCTTTCTGATCGAGAAACCGAAAGGAATCCGGCCATTGTGTGTTCCCTAATTTTCAAAACACCTGCCCAGGCTTCCCTTGTTTGCAGCCACCCTAGCACCAGATCTCCCCTCCCCCCTCCCTCTTCTCCCCCAGCGCAGGTTGGCTGGTTGCCTGTCATGCCCGGCGCCAAGCACTTTACAAATCATCACCTTTGGCGCGCCTGCCTTTTACCTGGCTTTTTGCAGATCACTTGCCTTGCGCACTTGTGCATTTGACGTACGTTCGCAATGCACATAGTTGTGTAGTTATTCTTGAACAAATGAAGCCTCACACCTATTCCCACATTCACGGAACCAGGCATGTGTTCCTGACGATGCATATCAGCACATTTTTGCCTACTCTCAAATGGGTGCACGCTGGATGAACGAATGGGGATGACAGACTGCGAGACTGCTCATGTATGCATTGCACTGGTACTTTGTTACATATGCACGAGCACATGCGCGTATGCTTACATTTGCACAAACACAACTGGGAATGTCTGGGAATACGTTCTGTGGCATGCACGCGCACACATGAGAATGTAAATCTGTACATGCGGACATGCATACGGGCATACGTACCGGCGTGCAGCCGTATACTCGCACATACATTTTTACACATGCGTAAATACCAGACACACACACACACATAGAGCGATACCGACACAAACAAAGGCTTAACAAAGAGGGCCTGCTGGCCTGCGGAACGGTCACTGGCAATCATAGATTGCTCGTGGCTGGTTTCCCTTGATTGTGAATCCAGCTTGTCGGGCTTGCGCGAGGGCGGTGCAGTCCGCCGGCGCAAGTGGCAAACATTGCTGCCGCGCATGCGACATCAGCGGGTGGCCCGCTTCGTGAACCCGCCCGCCCGGACTGCTTTTTGGCACGGGAGCACACGCTGCGCGGGCATGCCATGTTTGCCGAGCAACCCTGGCACGACGATGGGCGGGCGTTGCCAGACAGAGAGGGAAACAAAGAAGAAGCTGCTACCAATGAGGCAGACAAATAAGCCCAAGCAAGCAAAGCAAAGCAAGGCAAGGCAAGGCAAGCCAAGCCAAGCCAAGCCAGGCCAGGCCTGGCCAGGCCAGGCCATGCCAGGCCAGGCCAGGCCAGGCCAGGCCAGCCAAGCCAGCAAGCAAGCCAGCAAGCCAGCAAGCCAGACAGCCAGCCAGCCAGCAAGCAAGCAAGCAAGCAGCATGCGAGCAAGAAGCCAGGAAGCAGGCAGCAAGGACACAAGCAACTAAACAACACAGAAACGCACGCAGAGCAACAAACAAGATAGACCTGAAATGACTATCAAGTACGTATATATATATATATATGTCTATCTATCTATCTATCTATCTATCTATCTATCTATCTATCTATCTATCTATCTACATATACATATTTGCCTACCTGCCTGCTTGTCTGCCTGCCTGCTTGTCTGCCTGCCGGCTTGCCCGAACCTTCTCTGCCTATACTTGGCTACCTGCCTGCCTGCGTTCCTACGTGCATGCGTGCCTGCCTGCCCACCTGCCTGCACTGATGCGCATATAGTTTCATGTGCGTTTGTATGTGCATACAGACAGGCAGGCGGCAGACAGACAGAGACAGACAGACAGACAGGCAGCCAGGCAGACAGACAAAGACAGAGACCGAGACCAGAGACAGAGAGAGACAGACAGAGACGGGCGGACAGAGACAGAGACAGGCAGCCAGACAGTCAGACATGCAGATATGCAGACATGCAGACATGCAGACGTACAGACATACCGGATATACCAGCCATACAGATACTGGAATACAGACATACGGACATACAGACGTACAGGCACACAGACAGACAGACATACATACAATGCATGCATGTACACATGCGTGCACGCACGCGCGCGCACACACACACACACACACGCACGCACGCACGCACGCACGCACGCACACACGCACACACGCACGCACGCACACACGCACACACGCACACACGCACACACGCACACACGCACACACGCACACACACACACACACACACACACACACACACACACACACACACACACACACACACACACACACACACACACACACACACACACACACACACACACACACACGCGCACGCGCACGCGCACGCGCACGCGCACGCGCACGCGCACGCGCACGCACACGCACACGCACACGCACACGCACACGCACACGCACACGCACACGCACACGCACACGCACAAGCAC